TGGCGCAGGATAGAGCAGGGTTTAGGGCTGTTGTGAATAGGGTCGCTATGAGTTGCAAATGACTCAAGGGCACATAACAACAACAACAACAATTACAAAAGCAGAGTGGCTTAAAAAATGGCGTTAGATTCGGTAGATATTGTGAGGTTGGCACAGAAGCAGAGAGTATTTTGTTCTATTAGTCATCATTAAGCTGATATGAGTCAGAATAGCTAAATGACTCCTAACCACATCTCTAATTAAAAAAGAAAAATTTTTAACAGAAATTCAATATGTTACACCTAATTTTCCTATTCAAATATTTATAGTGTCTCTTTTCCTGATGGCCCCTGACGCAGACACAAGAAGGAAAACATAGTGCTGTCAACTTAATGATGACTTTTTAAAAATCTATTTTATAATTGAATTATTTTTGGATAAATAGGAAGAGCAAAATATCCTTTTGGGTTAAAATAGTTTTTCTTTTGGAAGGAGTAGACTATAATAAAGACAAAAAGTTGTGTTCTTTTCTTTCTTATTTCTTGAAAAACAAAGCTTGTCTCATGTGTATGCCAAACCCCAAACCAGACCATTCTCATGGAGTTGATTTTATCTTTAGCTACTTCCCTGGAACGCACAAATATTGACATACTAGGCATTGGTGAGATGAGATGAGATGAGATGGACCAGCATGGGGCATTTTGAATCTAATGATCCTATGATATACTACTCCAGAGATGAAAAAGTGAGGAAAAATGGGGTTGCTTTCATAGTTAGAAAAGCCATTTCTAGATCCATCTTGAAGTACAATATTGTAAGTGACAGGATAATATCCATACTCATACAAGGAAGTCCAGTGAATACCACTATCGTTCAGATATATGCACCAACAACCAGAGGCAAAGAAGAAGAAATAGATGATTTCTACCAGCTTTTACAGTTGGAGATCAATTGAACATGCAATAAAGATGTATTGATAATAATGGGTGACTGGAATGCAAAAGTTGGGAACAGAGAAGAATCAGTAGTTGGAAAACATGGACTTGGAGACAGAAATGGAGCTGGAGATAGAATGATTGAATTTTGCACAATCGATGACTTATTCATTGCAAACACATTTTTTTAAAAGACATAAATGCGGGTTATACACATGGATTTCACCTGATGATATGCATAGGATTCAGGTAGATTACATCTCTGGAAGGAACGGCTGGAGAAGTTCAATATCAACTGTGAAAACTAGGCCCTGAGCTGATTGTGGAATAGAACACCAACTACTCATATGCAAGTTCAAGCTGAAGCTGAGGAAAATTAAACCGAATCCACGGGAATCAAAATATGACTTTAAGTCTATCCCACCTGAATTTCAGAACCATCTCAGGAACAGGTTTGAAGACTTGAACATGAATGAACAAAGACCAGATGAGTTGTGGAAGGATATCAAGGGTATCATCCAAGAAGAGTGCAAACATTCATTAGAAAGACAGAAGAGGAAGAAAAGACCAAAATGGATGTCAGAAGAAACTCTGAATATTGCACTGGAGGACAGAGAAGTCAAAGCACAGGGAAGAATTCAAGATTGTTCACAGCTTTAGTCTGCTTGGCTCTATAATCAGCATTAGCTACAATATCCCTAGTACCACGACCCCTTCTAAACCCAGCCTGGACTTCTGGCAGTTCTCTGCTGATGTGTTGTTCCAGTCATTTTTGGATAATCTTCAGTAGAATCTTCCTTTCTCCCTTTTGGCAGGTGGTTTGGAACCATCCACCTCTCTCTCAGCAGCTGAGTGCTTAAACACTATGCCATATACTCACTGATATCATAAGGTTGAGCTAATGAAATTTAATCTTTGAGCACACTTTGTTTAAATTCTTTTGGGATTAAACATTATCTAAATGTGAAACAAAACATTAAAGTAATTAATCACATTGAGGATATTTTAAGAAGTTATCAGACTCTTACCTTTGGGCTGCATTGTTTTCCAAAAAAGTCACATTCCAACAAAGTGGTGTTGTTGAGGTAAAAACCATTTTCTTTGACAAAATCTGTAATGCTGAAGTTTTGGTGACTTGTGAGAAAATCAATAGCCTCTTTTGAGTCAGTGGAATTGGCCTTGATTTCCTGAAGATGGAGGACTTTGGATACAATATTCCACAAGAAAAAAATAACACTAAATTTGGTCGCAGGATCTGCTTGAAACCTATTTGTAGAAATAAAGGCATATATTTTATAATAACTTACAATTTTCTTTTACTGGAAATAAGTTTCACTTAACTATAATAGTATGTTTTCTTTAACTAGAATAGTAAGTATCATTTACCTGAGATTCCTCTTAAAAACAAGGCAAAAATGTGTATTTGGAACCTGATTTTATGGGTTCGAGCACCATTTCTACCAGTTCTGTGTTTGTAATATATCTGCTGAACTAAAGTGGAACTTCCTCAAATTCACTTCACTGTAGCTACCTTATTACACTCTAAAGTATGTCCATAGGCCAAGGACTGTTTATAGAACTTGTCACTGACATATTCACTCAATTAGTTGACAAATCTGACAGCAATCAGGACTATTGAAATTCTATCTTCAGTCAGATGTTCTCCTTCATATTTTTGAAACTCTGATTCAGATGAAAGTGTCTCTGACTGGTGAAAATGTCACTTTATCTACAGGCAACCTATGCTAGTATGATTGCAGATAATGTGAGCAAAACACAGACATTTCTAATGAAACATTCTCTCACACTTCACATTCATATGCTCATCTCCTGGTGTGAATACAGGTTGTGGGTTTGTTGTTAGGTGCCATTGAATAGAGTATGACCTTATGAACAGCCTAACTGAACCCTTCCCTTTCCCATACCCTCCTTATCATATGGAGCACACAAGAGCCTATTGCTGAAATTATTGTGTCAAATACACCTAATTGGTGTCTTCCTCTCATTCACTGACCCTCCATCTTTCTAAGCATGATGCCCCCCTGCAAGGAATGGCCTCACTTAACTACATGTCCAAAGTATGAAAGGCGAAGCTTCCTTATCTTTATCTCCAAGGAGCACTCTGCACTTTCTCCAAGACATATCTGATAGTACTTTTCTCCAGCACCACAACTCACAAACATCAATCAGAAACAAATGCAATGGAATGACAAAGATTTCTTGATCATTCAAAAATTACTAGAATGGTACATTGGCAGGGAACTGTTGAGGAGCTCAAGCTGCGTTTAGAAGAGGCTGTAAACACAGGAGGATATCATTATTGATGTAGGATGAATCTTAGATGAAAGTAGAGAACACAAGAAGGATGTCTATTTGTGTTTTATTGATTACACAAAGGCATTTGACTGTATATTACAACAAATGGTAGCTAACATTGAGAAGAATGAACATTCCAGAACACCTGATTGTATAACACAAAACCAATACCTATGCCAGGGAGTGGTTTTCCAACTAGAACAAAAGAACACTGAATGATTCAAAATTAAGAAAGCAGTGTGTCAGGGATGTACCCTTTCTGCATATCTTTTTAATCTATGTGCTGAACAGATCATTTGGGAGATTGGGCTTTATGAAGAACAATGTGGTGTCAAGTTTGGAAGAAGACTCACCAACAACCTGCATTACTTGAATGTTACAGGCTTTCTCTCCAAAACTGAGGACTTGAAGATTTTGCTACAGAAAGTCAAGAACTAGTCTTCAATATGAATTGGAGATCACCATCAAGAAAACAGAGATCCTCACCAGGAGGCCAGTAGATAGCATCATGATAGAAGAAGAAGAGACTGATGCTGTCAATCATTTCATCTTGCTCGAATCCATAATCAACACCCTTGGCACCGGCAGTCAAGAAATCAAAAGGTAAGTTGCATTGGGAAAATCTGCTGTCAACGGCCTCTCCAGAGCGCTATAATTATGTCACTATAGAGACTAAGGTAGGCCATGATCTTCTACATTGCCTGCTATGCATCTGAGAGTTGGACAATGAATAACTATGATAGAAGAATTGATGCCTTTCAGTTATGGTACTGGAGAAGAGTATTGAACATAGCATGGATTGCCAAGAGAACAAACAGGTCTGTTCTGTAGAGGATACAACCAGATTGCTCCTTAAAAGTAAGGATTTTGAAACTCTGTATCATATACTTTTCACATGTTGCCAAAAGAGTTCAGTGTGTAGAGAAGGACATCATGCTTGAAAGGGTAGAGAATCAGCACAGGAGAAAAAGATCCTGGCTGAGATGGACTGACACAATGATTGTTGAAATTGGGACAGGTCTATCAGAATTGTGAGGTTATCTCAGCAAAGGTCAAGGTTCAAAATTGTTGCTAATAGGTTTGCTATTAGTAATAGACAACTTAATGGCACATAACAACAAAAACTACCGCATAACAGAGTAAGACAAAATAAATTGAGTGAGATACATCAAATTTCTTGTATCCTTATTTGATAGCACTCATAACCACTTTGCTTTTTATTGAACCCTGATTTTCTAAGCCACTTAACTGTATAATCTTGAAAACTTATTGCCTCTGGTGCTCTAGTTCCTTCATTTGAAAATGTGTATGAAATTTACATAATATATTTCAAATTTATTTTTTGAGGATCAAATTATTATTCCCCCATCAGTGTTCAGAAGAGATTCTTAAACATAGTGAATGTTGGGTAAATAAATATTTATTAATAGATGGCTCACTATTACCTGGATGTTTTCCTGACAAAGAAACTTGAATAATCTATTCCCCCTAACTACTATGTTACGTTACGGTTTTCATACTTTTTTTTTTTCATTTTCTACCTGTATCAATATGTTTTCTACATACATTATATGTATTTTAGATATTAGAATTCTTTTATATTATTTCTATTTTCTATTTATTTGCATATAAAGTTCTTATACATTGTGTTTTGTTTGTATACATTGTGTTTCATGCAATATTACATTCACATTATGTTTCATCTAATCATTCACATACACTGTGTTTTGTAAAATTAATCAACATTGCTCCATGTCCAACATTATCCTGCCTTTTCAGAAACCCACTGGATCTCATGATCCCCACCTTCTGTGTGCTCTTCCTCTGTCTTTTGCTCCCTTTGGACTTTTTGTACATATCTTCGTAGTAATCACTCTATCTTTACAATAATGTTCTTATGTGGTAGCGGTCCTTATGAGACTGAGTTAGTTCACTCAACATAAAGCTCTCTCCAGACTCTACCATGTTATATAGTATTTTTCAAAATCATTGTTTCTGAGCATTGCATTTTATTACATCCTGTGGAAATACCACAATTTCTCAATCTATTCATTTGTTGATGGACATTTGGGTTGTTTTCATTTTATTGCTATTATGAATAATGAACATACGTAAACAAATCTCCATTTGTGTGTTAATTCTATTTTCGTCCTATCTCCATACCTTTTCAACCTGTATGCAGAGCAGATTATCCGAGAGGCTGGGCTCTATGAGGAGATGCATGGTGTTAGGATTGGTGGAAGATCTATCAACAATCTGTGTTATG